CAAGGGAAGATCTGTTCTAGAATCCATCAGGACAGGGCCCTCAGCTAACTACTTCCAAGTCTGTAGTGATCACATGGAAGTAAGCTGGTCTCCAGGTATCAAATCCATAAAGGTTTCACTCAGACTGCCACACAGGGCACATGAGTGAGGAAAATGCAGAACACTGGAGTGGGACAACAGGGAACCTGAGAGATGGAGACAAGCCCCAGTCCAGGGAGTGACCAGATCACTGACATCAGTGTTCAGTATCAAAGGCTTATTGTGCCACTGAACTGTACACTTTAAAATGATCACTATGGGAAATGTTTTGCTATGTATTTTACCACAATAAAAAAAAGAAAAGAAAAAGAGGGTTGTTATGTAACATCTCTTTGGGATCTTCTCACCACAGAAGGGCATAAATAAGCAAATAAATAATGCAAAACAACTTATCTACCAGTCTGAGTGCAAGCCCTGTTATATTCTGTCACCTGATTTGCCTGTTTGCCTCCTCCCAACCTCTTCCTATTTTATCTAGGGTGAATGGGTGATTGCTGACACTACACATTAGTCTGTCATTTTCAAAATATCCATATTAAATTTACCCATAAATTCTGGACTGAAAACTGGCTAGGTACAGTAGCTGATGACACATTGGGTTGTTCCTGTTTTGAGCTTGTTTTCCTGTGTACAGGGGATGGTTACCTGATGTTAGGCAGAAGCATTGATGCTGGCTGTTGTGGAACTGTACATGTGTATAAAAAGGTTTGTGTTAAGCATTTGTTCCCCACATGTTTTAAACATCCTTCTTATCAATTGGGAATTTCTTACATCTTAAGTCCCAGCTTCCCAAAGTAGAAAACTATTGCTTGACTCCCAATATCCATCTTCTTTACTGACAACAATTTCCATTTCTGCTGGGCACATTAATTCCAATAGCATCAAGTTCTAGTTAATGACATGAAATCAGAGGTGTTATATATGCTACCTTCAGGAAGCCTTCTTAAAGGGGAGGAGCAACTCCCTCCCAATGTTTAGAAGAAAATAGGTGATAGTGGGTGCTCTAGCAGCCACTTTGGATCTTGAGATGATCTAGAAAAAAGAAATCACATACTGAGGTTGGTGGACTTAGAAAACAGAATCACTAAAGACACTGTGAAGTCATCAATGCCAGCCCTTTGATTGTCTACCTCCAGACCTGAGATATAGCTTTCTAGCCTACTGAAGCCAATTTATTATTTGGTTATATCCAACAAAACCTAATCCTAATGAATTCACTTGCTCTTCCAATCTCCCTTGTGGCTGAGATTGAAGGCCTGTGTCCCAGACCCTGCTAATTGCACATAGGACCTCCATTCTAAAGAAACAGGCCCTGAGAGCAAAATGTGTGTTCCAGCAAAGGTATTAGTGGAGGCATTAGGATTTTGGAGCTCGAAGTGCTGAAATACTGGCAACCAATGCCAAGGGTCAATGGGAGGTGTTCTGGCATATGTGCCCAGAAATTAGCTGTGGACCTGCTCTAGAATAATCTCACTTGTGGTCAGGCACACTTCCTGGTTCTCAGCTTCCAAAGCCAACAATGTGACCTTCCCAGGGACTAAATGAGCTACCTGATATCTCTAATAAATTTTTCTGTTTTAATATGAAGAATTCTAAGTGATATATCAGTCGCCTAAGGTCTATCTGAAGATAAAGATTTAATGCCTAAACCTCTATTCCTCCTGCTTTAAACCACTTCATAAAACTCAAGAATTCCCCTGAATTTAGGCTTAATTGGCCTTCTCTGCCTTTAGCAGAGATAACAAAATTGTCCGCCAAAATTCATTCTCTCATCCTACTACAGAAATAAGGGTATGGGTATACCTGTGACTAGATAAAGTCACTCAACCAAGTCTCATTAATGTGAATGAGGGTGACAAACACAATTTCTGCCTCACTTGCAGAAAAAGAGGGTTTTTTTTAGGCCATTTTTCTCTCTTTAAATCCTGATATTCATAATGACTAGAATGAACTTCACAAGAAACCACCAAAAGATACTACAGGGCCACAGTTGGAAGGAGCCTGACTCCCCAAATAACTTTGTGAAGCAGGGCTGCCCCCATCAACCTGGACTGCTCTCCGTGGATCTGTAGCATGAAAGAAGAATAAATTCTATTCCATAACCTTCAGTTTTGGGGTCTCTTCAGCTTAATCATTCCTTTGATAAATGATGATGGAAAATACTTGCCATGGAACTTGTAATTAACAAGTGATGGTAGACCAGTGCAGGAAACACCATTCAGCAGCCATACTGGCAAAAAGTGAGTCACTTTCCCTATCCAGAAAGAGACACACTAATGGGGTGGGAGCACTGGAAGAGCCCCAAGGAGCCTCAGGTCTCAGGACCTCTGCTAGATCGTGGCCACAATCCACTCATCATTTTCAGTTGCCTTGGTTTGAAGCAAATAGATCTACTACTGCTACCTCAGACTTGGAAATGCATGTTTTCATCTTTTCTATTGTAATTTGACCACATTGTTTAGAAATCATTTCATTTGTCACTGTCTTCATTTATTAGGTCTTCCATTTTTATAATGCATTATTTTTGGGGGTTTTCCATGGATAATTAATCATCTTTCACATCTAAAATCTAGTATTTTAGTTTCATAATGCCCGTTAGCTTCTGCATCAAGTTTTCATCAACTACAGGCAGTTTTTAAAAATTAAGTTCTATTGCAGCCCTGTCATTCATTTTTGGATTACCTGTGGTTGCTTTCACACTAGGACAGAGTTGAGTGGTTGGTAGAGTCCATGTGGCTGACAAAGCCTAAAGTTCTAAAGTTTTTACTATCTGACCTTTTAGAGAGATGTTTGTTGACTTTGCTATAGATATACACTTGTTTTTATCTGAATTAATATGTTTTCTAATTACTTATCTTTCATTGGCGTGTCCCCACTGCCTTCTATTGCTTTTTTCCTTCCACCTTCATCTTTAAATTCTTAAATGTTAAAGTTTAGTAAACTTTTAGCTTATCTAACTGTGCTATCAGGCTCATAGACATATAGCTTGCTTAAATTTACCTTACTAGTTTTATCCTTTTAAATTAATCATTAACTACTTTTAATATCAGCTTGAGGACTAAGGTGTGCCTGACCCAAGCCATGGTATTTTCAATAACCTCATATGCATGCAAAAGCTGGACAGTGAATAAAGAAGACCGTAGAAGAATTGATGCTTTTAATTTATGGTGTTGGAGGAGAATATTGAAAGTGTCACGGGCTGCCAAAAGAACAAACAGATCTGTGTTGGAAAAAGTGTAGACAGAGTGCTCCTTGGAGGCCAGGATGGCCAGACTTTGTCTCTCATACTTCAGAGATTGTCAGGAGGGACCAGTCACTGGAGAAGGATATCATGTTTGGTAAGGTGGAGGGTGAGAGAAAAAGAGGACGACCCCCAGCGAGATGGATTGGCCAAATGGCAGCATCAATGGACTCAAGTGTAGCAACAGTAGTGAGGTTGGCCCAGGACCAGGCAGTGTTTCATTCTGTTGTGCATAAAGTCACTATGAATCAGTACCAACTCGATGGCACCTAACAACAACAACTTTTAATGTTGCTCCTCTGGTTGCCTTTTTGTTTAATGACTATAGGAAGTACATTACAGGCTATGACAATCTGGAGAAACCCCAGTAAGACTCTTCTCCAAATCATCTTTATGCTGTAAGCCAAATCGCAAAGGAAGTAGCACTGTGAGGCTCAGATCCAAAATCCAGCCATGGCATGAAGATCCTACTCAGCCAGATAGTTCTCAGTGAGTCTTGTTCCTTTGTGGATGACCTGGTAGTAATGGCCACACTACCTGCTTACCACACAGATCTGCTACACTTTGGCCCAGCAAACCGCCTGCCTATGTCAGGGCAAGTTATCCAACCAGCAGTTACAACCTATTATCACTTAAGCTACAGAAATCTAATGGCTCATTCCCCAGACGTGTTTGCCCAGATGTGTTTATTTAAATACTTCTGATCTTTATTGTACATCTGCAATGGCAGAGATAGATGTCCCAATCATGACTGTAAAGTTCTACAAGGCCTTTCCTAGAGATAATCCTTTCATGTTTCTGGCACTTCTGATAGACATCAGAGATAAATAGTCAAATAAGATGTGGATTCTTTCCTCTGCAAATTATGATCTAGTTATGCAAAAACCAAGTAAAACAATAGTGACAATACAGTGGAAGATACTCTGTTGAGATTTATTGTGAGAACAGAGAGGAGGGGACTCTGAATCAGCAAGAGCTTCCTGGTGAGGGTGACAGGAGGTAGTGCCCTATGACCTGACACTTTTGTGGATGGCTCAACGTTCCCCACCACCTCAGCACCCTCAGAACCACATACACCGGTTGTCACAGACTCACTAACAGTTGAAGTAATGGGAAAGAGCCTCCTTTCTGTGGCGATCCCAATGGGAAGGAACAGAGGAACATGGAGAAGGAACAGAAATGATCAAAAACCATATATCCTTGGCTGCCATTCAATGCCCCTCACACCCCACAATCCATTCAGGCTCTGCCCTGGACACCAGAAACCAAACATTAGACACCCCTTCACCAACCACAACCAGTAGCCAGGAGGACAAGACACAGCAGGTGTGGCTCAGTCCTGAGGGACCATGTGAGAGCAGGCCCCATACATCAGCCATCCTGGGCACTCAGGGAAGAGCAGGCAGCTCAGGGCTGAGCCCCGCAGATCCGGGGTCCAGATGACCAGCCCAGCAGAAATGGCACTAGAAGTCCAGTTGGCTTCCCTGCAGGCTCAAGAGAAGTAAGGAAGGGGGATTTGGCTGAAGCAAAGTGGAACTGAGGCTTGGAAAAGCCTGGATGGGGTGGGGTTGGGGTGCAGAAAGGGGCTGAATAAGGCCTTGGGAGGAGAATGGAGTGAAAAGAAGGGAAAAGGAAGACAAAATTTTGCTGGATAGGCCGGGTGTTCTCCAGGCAGCAGGGACAGGTTGGCTCCTCTTCCAGTCTCCTGTATTCATAGACTCTACTTACTACCCCACAGGGCCTGCTTTCCAAAGAAAGGGCGTGGGAGGAAATTGCTGGACTTCATGTAGGCAGAAATCTTCTTCAGGCCCTGAAGGTAGAAAAGAGGAGGCCAGAGCTCAGATTTACTGCCTGTTGATAACTAGTTAAATAACTATTTCACTTTTTTAAAAAATCTCTTCCTCTAATCAGAGCTCCCACATACAGCGACTCGTCACTGCTAGGTGCTTAATATCTAAAGATGATAATACAGATCTAGAAAATTCTCTGGACTGTGCTACAAGACAGATTCTATTATTGTCATTTCTTAGAAAGGAACCCAAGGTGCCCAGAGATGAAACGTGCCTTCAGCTTGCAGAGAGTCAGTCCTGGGCCAGTCTGTTTGTCAGTC